CTGCCCTCCGAGGCCGGGCAGCTGCCCGCAGCCTCCTCCGAAGAGGTGGGCTATTCATGCTCTGCCTGCTCCCCGACTCCCTCTAATGAAGAGTCTCCAACAAAAGCCAGGAAGGAAGCGGAGAAAGGGCCCATTGTGGCGCTCGCGCTGGGACGCCCTGCCTCGCGCACTCGGAACAGCCGTCCTTTGTGCGCGCTGCCCGCCTGGGAGCTTCTCTGGAACGTCTGTCCTGCGCTCGTGTGCTTGTGGGGTCCCCAGTGCACCAGCCGCTCGCACTTCCCCTCCTTCCTGTCATTCTCTGCGCTCGCCCGCTGTCCCCATGAACCGTCCCCCGGCACCCACTCCCCCCACTCACTCCCCAGCACCCGCCTCCCCAGCACCCACTCCCCCATGTCGCGGTGGCCCCGCTGCACCGGGTCCCCTGACTCTCGAGTGCGGGCGTGTGGGGTGCGCACCCCGCCTTTGTCCTTCCAGGCATCTATCTAGGCATCCCCTGGAGGGATGGTTGCTCCACACGGCAGGTCGGACCACAGCCCAGCGCACCCCAGGCCTCTTTCCCGGCCACCACGGGCAGTGCTCCCCTAGGCTGGAGGTGTTGAGGTTGAAAATCTATTTCTACATTAAGTCTTTTAAAAAAGATATTTGTATTGATTTCAGAGGGGGGCGGGCAGGGAGAGAGAGAAACATTAATGATGAGAGAGAATCACTGATCAGCTGCCCCCTACTAGGGATGGAGCCCACATCCCTGGCGTGTGCCCTGACCAGAAATCAAACCGTGACCTCCTGGTTCATAGGTCGATGCTCCACCCCTGAGCCCTGCCGGCCGGGCTGTTTCTACATTAAATTTAAAAACAACAGCTCAGTGCGGAGCTGAGAGGTTCCCCTCCCTCACAGACCCACAGACCCAGGAGCGAGAGAGAAATGACCTCGCACAGCTCAGCTCAGCGTGTTCCCCGGGGCCTGGCGGCTCTGCCGAGTGGCCAGTGTCCCCGGCGTTAGTGTCACCGTGAGAGGCAGGCGTGTGAGACGGCGACAGCGAGTCACCCTCCCCCTGCAGGGAGCCACCCCCTCAGGGCCCCCAACCCGCAGCCAGGAGACTGCTGCCTCCTCGGACCCGGAAGGTCCTCCCCTCAGATCATCTCTTGTGAGACCAGAGCTCACTGTCTCGCGTGTGACGGCGCAGGCACAGCCCGAGGCTTCGGGACGTCAGGCCCCGGGCCACAGGCCCCGGAGTAGCGTGCAAGTCCCCCCCGAGTTACTTAGGTCTCAGTTTGTTACGATTTTAAAACCCTACTTGCTTTGACAAGCAGCTTCGATTGAGCGCAGGGCCAGGCTGGGCACCGGTGCCTTCACGGGCCCCGGGTCCGGCCACAGTCCCGGGCGGGACCAGAATCCCAAGGCGGGTTAAGACGCCCTGATTTTTGAGGGGATTTCGCTCTCGGTCACACACGCGCCTGTGGCTCCCCCACGCCAGGTGTTTCTGGGGGGAGCTGTGTGTGTGAGATCCTCGCACCCCAGCCCCCACATTTCCGCTGAGTCCGACGGGTGGTGGGCCCATGGGGCGGGGCGGGGTGGCTGGGACGGAGGTGCGGCTGACGTGCCTGTGTCCCCGC